GTAAATCGGGATAAGGTTGCAAGGCTCAAGAGGTTTTTGAAAATTTGCAAGGGGTTTTTTTTGTTCCAGATTCCGAATGGTTTGATCGGGACAGTGGAGAAAGGAGCGCTCTCAGCACTGGGCACACCGCTGACCGTGAAATGCAAGCATTTCCTCACACTGACTTTCCTGATAATGCGAAACAAAGAATGTCAGGATCTTCTGGAAACACTGAACAGATGCGGCAAGCCAGGTTTGTTACACTTTTATTTGTGCTTTACGTAAAAAATGAGCGATTTTTAAAAATTTTTTATTGGTTTTTCTCAAAAATTGCTTGTCTTGGCAACAGATTGATAGTGTTGCTAGGGAAGTCGCCATCAGTTCGCTTATAAGTAACTTCAGTAGAGGAATTCATCCACAGCTTTTGCCCTTGGAGAAAAGGGGGGAGGAGGGGTTGCATTTGATACGTGTTATCACTGAGGACATTGCGAGAGCCTTCGTCTCTCAAGAAAGTAAGCGCGGTGGAAGTTTTCACTTTTGACGGAAGAATTATCGGAGTAAACATCGACATATGTTACTGACTTGCTTATTTGGGAGGTCTAAATGGCACTTCCAGTTTTCATCAGTTGTCAAAATTCGATTGTGCACTCGTTCTCTTCCAATCTCCTTACCAAGAATTTTTCACTGTTTCTATCTTTAAAATTCCTGCAACACTTTTTTGTAATTTTAGTGAACATAACTGATGTGTTCGCATTTGAAAACAAGGAACGGAATGGTGACATCCGTGTGAATAAGATCAAACGAGGCTGGGATCGTTTCGACTGGGTGGTCGAGTTCGCACGCCAGGGCATCGGCGTAGCTGATAACGATGCATGGGCGATTACCGAATTCAATAAAGATTACAAAGTATTTTTTTTTTTTTGAATTTTTTCACTCACTCTGCGTCTGCTTTAAATGCTTTAACATTTCGAGATGCCCAGTTGCGAAAGCATTTTGCCAAGAATTTCTTAATTAATCAAAAGCGAAAGTCAAAGCTTCGAAGGTGATCAGCTACCGCACTAGTTCTGATTTGAAATGATACCAACTAGCGTTTTGTCGGCGGTAAATACACCTTGACGAGTAGCTTCAGTGCAAAAAATCGTTAACTTATCGCTAGATCTTACTGGAGTGATACTATCCGGTGTCCTAGCAGGTCCAAACATGTTTTTGCATCCAGATTTTTTGACTTTTAAATTCCACGATTGACCTATGGTATATCTTTGATATTTTGAGAATCACTGGGAAAAAACTTGGGTAATTATTGCTGAGTGGTTATAGAATTACAAAAAATTTAGTATTTATCTCGGCAAAAGATCAGAAATGGGACAAAGCTGTAGATCATCCTGGCTGGATTTGCAGCACGGCGATGGTTTTTTCATCCGTTGATTTCTGACTTTCTATGGAAATATCATCACTGCGTGTGTTATTT